TTGCAAGCATCATGATTTTATTTTTCTTTATGACTGAGTATATTCCATGGTGTAGCTATTCAACACTTTATCTGATGGTGGGAATCAAGGCTAGCTGCTTTTCCTAGATATTGTGAATATTACAGCAATAAACAGATGTGCAACATTTTTATTTCTATGGCATGCTGCCTTAGATTCCTTTAACTATAGGCAAAGTAATGGGTGGAGCTGGCCCAATGATAATTTTGCCTTTTAAAATTTTTTCTCAGAAATCATCATAGGAACTTCATTAATTGCATTCTCACAATCCATGTATAAGGATTAGTTTTTCTTGAAATTGTCACCACTGGTTGTCATATGTGAGTTTTTGTCAGGATGTTATGTTCATCTTGAGTACAGTGAGGAGGAATGTCAAATAAGTTTGAATTTACCTTTCACTCTTAGGTAAAACTATTGAACACTTTGTAAGTGATTCTTGGTCATTTATCTCTTTTTTTAGAGTGTCCTGTAGTCAGCTTATTAGCCTCCAGCTTATTGGATTGTTTGGTTTTATGCTACTTAACTTTACATATGTGTGTGTGTGTGTGTGTGTGTGTGTGTGTGTGTGTGTATACTCACAATGTCAATTTCCTATCTGAATTATAGCAGGAAAAGAATTATTTATTTTCTTCTTCTGTAGACTCTATTTTGGTTATTGTTTCCTTTTATGTGTAAATGCTTTTTTCATATTATATAATCACATTCTTTGATTCTTGGGATTATTTCCTGAGGTAATGAAACATTTCTCTCAAAGTCTTTGCCAGTGCCTGTATCTGGAATATTTTCTCTATATGTTCCTTTCGATCTTTCAGGTCATGAATTAAGATCTTAGATCCATTTGGGGTTAGTTTTTGTGCAGGGTAATAAAAATCGATCTAATTTCCTTCTTCTACATGTGCCTCTCAAATTTTCCAAACACGATTTGATGAAGAGATTATCATCTTTCCAATGTGTTTTTGGCCCCTTATATGGCTATAGCTGTGTGTGCTTATTTTGCAATACTTGATTTTATTTCATTGGTGTATATGTCTGTTTTGTGCCAGTGTCTTCAAGTTATTGTTACAATGTTCTTTTAAATTTTTGAACAATATCTTCACCGTTAATTTTTCTGTTCAGAATTATTTTTGTATATTCAAGAGAATTTGTTCTTCCATATGAATCTTGGAATTATTTGCTTCCTGGTTCTCTGAAGATTGTTATTGAAACTTTGGTAAGCATGTCATGGGATCTGTAGACTATTGTCAACAACATATGCATTTAAAATAGCCAGGCGTGGTGGCACACGCCTTTAATCCCAGCACTTGGGAGGCAGAGGCAGGTGGATCTCTGTGAGCTCAAGGCCATCCTGGTCTACATAGTGAGTTCCAGGACAGCTGGAGCTACAGGGAGACCCTGTCTTAAAAAGACAAAAAAAAAATTTAATTCTAATCCATGAATACCCATGAGCATCTACTTCAATTTCTTTTTTGAGTGTTTTTATACTTTTAATTGTACAGATCTTTCATCTCCTTAGGCTTATCATTAGGTATTTTTTTTCAAGTTAGCCTCAGAGAAGCTTTTAGGTTGTGGGACGACAGCAGCCAGATGTTTTGTGAAACTATCCCAGTTGCTCTTAAAGTCCTTATTTCCAACTGGAACTACATTGAAGGTATTGTGAGTGGGATTTTTAAGTATATTTTATGTACTATTTTTATTTTATGTGTATGTGTGTATTGAGTGCATGCATGTAAGTGCACCCATGTCATGCAATACCTGTGGAGGATTTTAAAGGGCATCAGATCCCCCTAAACTGGAGTTACAGACAGCTGCCATGTGGATGCTGAACTTCTATCCCTGGTCTTCTGCAAGAATAGTCAGTGCTCTTAACTGCTCAGTCATCTGAATGGGATTTTTATTACTAATTTTTTTTTGTCATAGAGTTTCTTTTTGGTATATAGAAAAGCTAGTAATTTTTATGCTGATTTTGTATTGTGCTATTTGTCTGAAAGTGTTTATCAGGTCTAAGTGATTTATGGTGTGATTTTTAGTCTTTCTAATACAAGATCACTTCTTCAAGCTATAAATGATTTGATATCTTCCTTTCCTATCTTAGTGACTTTTATTTATTGTCTTTTTAAACACTATTTATTGTTTTCTTCCAAGCTCCTTCTAGAAGGGCCCATTAAGCTCTGCTTACAGCATTCAACCTCTTTTCTACTCCAAACTTCCAAAATCTTCCATATTCCTCTCAAAACCAACATGATCATGTTCCTCACAGCTAGCACTTTGTTCTCTGGATCCAATTTCTGTCTTAGTTACTTTTCTGTTGCTATAATGAACCACCATGACCAAGGGAACTTATAGGAAGAAGAGTTTGAGCTTAAGGTTCCAGGTTTCAGAGGGATTATAGTCTCTCATGGCAGGGAGGAATGGTGAGGGGGCCAGAGCAAGAGGAGAAAGTTAAGCTCTCACATCTTCAAGCAGCCACAGGAAGCAAAGAGTGGAAATCTAGCAGTGCTTAAGAGCTCTCAAAGCCTGCCCCAGTGACACACTACCTCTGTAGTTTGTGAAATGCTAGTTTTAGTAATTCAAATAAGTTAGATCAATATGTTTTCCCTGCTGAGAGAAGTTTCTGTGTGTCCGATTTCTTTAGGAGTTCCTCAGTCTGAGACAACTGCCCGCCAGATAGCTTTCCCTTTTATGGAATAGGGATCATATTTCCAATTCAGAGCTCACAATGTGTGAGGATCTGAGGTAGTCAGAAATGTGCATCCCTTCCAGTATTAACTTTGACACCAGGTGCCTTCTTTGTGCATGGATCTGAATATTTTTTATTAATGTACCACAGTTCTTGCCGGAGAATATTTGCTTCCATTTGTGAAACTGTGGGAGGTTCAGCAACCTTGTTATTTCCAAATTTGATACGTGACTAAGCAGTGGCAAGAGTGTTGCTTTCTATTCTTTCTATAGTCTAGTTGCTCTGGGATTCTCATGGGGAATCTCCTCATCAACCTTCTGTGCCACACTTCTACTCCAATTTCTACAGCCTGTGTTGCCCTGACCATCTCTCTGCCTACTATTTACCAGTCTCTTGACTGCTATTTTATACTCCACTCAGTCTCTCTTTAGCTTACTTTTGCTGTGGTACATATCCCCTGAGGGGCCAGCACCATTCTAACAACTAACTACCGCTGCCAACCTTGAACCTGTGTGAGTAGTGTAGTATCTCTGGATGCTGGCTGGTGGTCACTCCTGAGTGCTACTCCCATGGAAGATTTGTGCAACTCACTTATGCTTTTTTTCTTTTTTCCCCCTAAACTTTTCAGCTGTCCTACCTCTCTCTGTTTCCAACCTTTGTCCAGCATACCTATCTTAGGAATACTGTATTCATTTTTTTGTATTCATTTTTTAATCATTACTCATTTATCAAATCAGACAGAGGAAGCTTCTAATATGCCACTTTATCTAAAACCAAGTTTTTGTTTTGTAGCTTACACATGACAATTGCAAACAATGATTCATGTATGGTGTGATATTTCAAAAACATGCATACATACAAATGATGTTTATGATGGTTAACCTTAAATGAATTACATAAAATAAGGTAATGCACACTTTGAGTGTTGGTTGAGGGTGTATCCTTAGAGGAATAAGTGAGGTGGCAAACTCATGCAGAATGTGTGCAACAAAATTCGATGTTGCAAGGCTCCAAATTGAATAAAAAAGAGACAAGATTAATAATGGACAGGCATTCCCAGTTTTCTTTGCTTCCTGGTTGCCTTTACATTACATCAACTTACATTCTCTTCCAATAACTTCCCCAAAGGACTGAATCCTGTGTATTCATGAAACCCTTTCTCCTTTTACATTACATATGTAAAATGTTTTAGCAACCACATTATCAAAACTAGATAATACAATGGTATTTAGTTTATCTGGATTCAGAAACATTTAACAATTCTTTGTGGTGAAATTGTACAAAATATGTTTTATATGCCTTAATATGCTATGTAACTATGTTATGTCCTAAGAGCTATATTTTCAGTCTTAACATGAAAATTTTAAATATTTATGATGTACAAATTATCTGCTTCTCCTGTATTTATTATGGCTTTGTTAATATTCCAAGAAATTGTTGTAAATATACAAGTTTAATATGTTTTTCTCTTATATTTAAATTTGTGTATATTTTATGTTTATGATGTGAGAAATATTTCCACATCATTTGGTATATGGTTTAATTATTCAGACATCATTTGTTGAACAGATTGTCTCTGATTCAATAATTTGGCACATTAGCAAAATCTATAAGGTATTGATGTATTCATTTATATCTTGATATTCTAGTTTATGTCATACATGTATTGGTTTATCATCATGCAGATAGCACTTGATTTTTGATACTGAATCTTCCAAACAAAGTTTTAATTTTGTAGAACATGAATTACTCAAACTTTATTCTTTTATCATGCTTTTTTGTCTACTTGGTATTCTTTGATGTTCCATAAGGAGATTTTCCCTTTTCTGTGATGCACGCTTTTGGAGTTTTGTATAGGATGAATTGCATTCACTTTTCAGGTAATATTTTCATGTAAAGGATATTTTACTTTCCAACCCATAAATACATGTTGGGCACCATTCCATTCATAATCATCTTTTTAAAACTTATGTCACCTACGTTTTGATATTATCAAACAGCACTCCTTTATCTTCTTGTTTGAACTTGTTGATAAAAATCGATTAATTATATCCATAGGTTGACCAAACTACAAGACATTGACTCACACCCAAGAGCACCTGGGAAACAGATTAGACTGTATAGGTCCTTTAAAAAATCAAATAATAATGGGGGACATACTCTGAAGTCTCCTATTCTCTAGATTTTGGCCAGTTGTGACTTTCTATATTCATTGTCCTGTGTTGCATGAGAAAGTTTTGATGATGAGAGGTAAGAGATGCACTAGTATTTTCTCTACCAAAATTATGGAATGCGTCACAAATTTGCATGTCATTCTTACACAGGGGCCGTGTTAATCTTCCTTATAGCATTCTAATTTTAGTATAAGTGCTGCCAAATTTAGCACTCTCTAATTTTAAAATCATTTTTTTAGTTTATTCATTTGTAATTTCCATTTTATACTGAGGTTTAAAGTTATTTTACACACACACACACGCACACAGAGTTTTGTATCTTTTATTTTCAGAATAACATCACATACAATAGAAGTGGGACATATGTGGATTCAGTTTGAAAATGTGAACAATTTTCCTAGGAAGAAATAAATCATCTATTTACTCCCTGATTTGTCATGAACAGACCAATGAAATGATTTCATCCAAGTCCAATCTGATAAACAAATAACATTATTTGAGATATTTAAGCACAGAGGAAGCTGCTTCATCATAAACTCCATTGGCAGAATAGGTAATGTGCTAGTTTGAATGAGAACTATCTATCAAAGGCTCAAGTATTTGAAAACTTTTTCCCCAGTTGGTGGTGCTATTCAGGGAGATGGTAAAATCTTTAGGAAGTGGAGCCTTGCTGGAGGAAATATGTCACAGGGTGCCAGCTCTGAGGATTCACAGCCTTGCCAGACTGCCACTGCACTCTTTCCACTTGTCTGTTTTAAGATGTTCTCTCAGGTTCCTGCTCTTGGTGCCATGTGAACCACGTGTTGCTGTGCCTTTCTGCCATAATGGCTTGTATCCCTCCAAACTGTAAGCCAAAATAAAGTATTTGCTTCATAAGTTGTTCTTGGTCATTGTTTTATCACAGCAACAGAAAAGTAACTAATCCAGGTGGAAACGTACAAATGCTGCATTACTGGAGTCCCTACCTCTTACCAACTTGTCACTTATGAGGTGGATCACATGTAAAAATCATGTGCAGACTAGGGGTATTAGAACACTAGCTGGTCTCTCGGGTAAGGATCTATAAATCTCTGCTTTCTACCAAATAATATTAACAGCCTTGTTATTATCACCATAATCTTAGCTGCCAGTGTATTATATTGCTAATTTAATTGGCATGAATACTAGTCAAGTTTTTCACTAAGCCACCACTGCAATTCTGCTCATGATGAACACCCAAAGGAAAATTACTCTAGCCATTATATTTGTATATTCTTAATGCTTCTCCATTGTGATGTTAATTGCATAATTCAAGGGAGGAAAATATATATACATATATATGTATATATGTATGTATATGTGTGTGATTATTCTCTACAATAGAAACTTATGCTCGACAGCTTGACAAATTATGGGCTGTAGAGCTACCACTATCCTCTGTAAAAAGAATGATTGAAATTGCTGACAGCAGCAATGATATACAATGTAAAACCAAATATTTAGAGAGCAAGTTTACAGGAACATTGTATCTGTTTAAGAAAACCATGCTATTGGCTTCCCATTGAGAGAATATGACTCACCAGCAATAGGTTTCCCCAAGCCCATGATTTCCAATACCAAGTATGGATTCCTTCCTCTCGAGAAGACCTTAAATCAAATTGGAAAGAAGTTGGCTGTACCTACAATAGTCCTGTAGCCATTGCATCAGAAGGGACACTTTATGTGGTGTGTTGATAACTTTACTACACAAGTCCACAGTCGAATAGGACTATTAGTAAGGACTGCCCCAGAGCACCTTGATGACATCTTCTAGTACTATGAATTCTAGCCACACAGAAGACAATTCTACCTCAATGTTAACCAATTTCTGTGTCTTAGAACTAGAACATATGGGGTTTATGTCAATAATGATTTATCATCTACTTTTAGCATGCAGGCGGTCAACACCAGTAACAACAGCCTGTATAGTGGAAGTATTACTGAAAATTTGAGGCATCCCTTATTAGGTGCCTGATGTTATGGGAGAAGTCAGAGTTAATTATCAGGGTTCTTAATCTCATTAATAAAAGGTTATTGATCCCTTCCAAATTTAATGTTAGGTCTCCACTTAGGTATTCTATTTTCAGAACTATAAGTTTTCAGTTAATGGAACTTTATTGCTACTTGAACAGTGAGAGAGGCTCAGGGACCTCTCTGTCCAACAACTTATAGGAATGTGACCCAGCTCTGGCACTGTGATTTTCATTTAATAACCCATGTCTTCACTGTGTGTTCTTCTGCTGTACATACACTGTACTTTCTGTATTTAAACTATTTACTTACTCTTTTTTATATTCTTTCAGATTATTTTTCAAATCTTTAAGGCACTCAAAGGTTAACATTAATGTAATGAAACCTTTTTGCAAAGGTTAGCAGGATCTTTGAATAACCACTCATCAATTTTAAGCAAAGGCAAATTGGTGTTGTAACTCAGCTGATGTAAAAAAAAAAAAACAAAAAAAAAAAACAAAAAAACAATAGCTAGGTCCACTAAGGGGAAAATTTTTTCTTAAATTATACTAATTGTTTTGTCAAAATGACAGTGTTGGCTATAGCCTTGAGGAGAAGGGAAGCATGAAAGGAAGGCGCTGTCTACTTAGCTCTCTAGTCCACATTTTATGTAAGTAGTTTGGCTTCTTTACTGGTCACACATGGCATTTGAAAGTGTTCCTAGCTAGCCCCACATTACCTCTTTTTCTATAGGCTTCATTTCTCACATGCAGAACTATATTCACAGTTCACATCACTGGGTAAATCTCCAATGGTGGTATGTGTGTTCCAGCCAAACATCCATTTCCAGGACACTTTCCAAAATTGGGGAAGTACATACAGTACATTTAATGGCTTATAGCCACAATATTACCTTTATGTGAAAAAAAGTTTCTTCTAGAAATTCTCTCTGGGCATACAAATCTTGCCACAATAACTTTTGCATGACCCAGAAAGGTCCCTCTCTTTGATGCTCCTTTTCTCATACTGTCGTGACTCATTTAATACTTTATAAGCCTGATTTACATGTCAATTTAAGTGACTCACATCGAGTATATCCTCCTGTATTTCAGAAACACCATATCCCAACATGAAACTCAGCAAAGCTAATAAAGCCCTATACCAGTCCCAAGTTGCCTGCTGAATTCTTTCTTTCTTACCACCCTGATGGCCACAATTCTATACTACCCTGGGAAATTGCATCAAATGTTGTTTCTTTCATGTTCAGTTTCCTCACTATACTTTCTAAGTTAATCTTGTCCCCCTCAATGTCCAATTCCTCCCAAGGATTCCAAGTTTAGTCTCCAAAGAAGGGGTATTGAATACAGACTGAATTTATACTCTATTCCTTTAAATATACTTATTTATTATTTTTATTTTATGTGTCTCAGTGTACATCTGTAAGTACATCCGTGTTGTTTAATGCCTGTGGAAGTCAAAAGAGGGTGTTAGATCCCCTGGAACTGGAGTTATAGAGGGTTGGATGGTTTTTAGTTTCCATGTGTGTTCTGGGAATCGAACTTGGGTCCTCTGCAAGACTAGCCAGTGCTCTTAACCACTGATCCATCTGTTCAGCCCTGATACTTTTTATGCCTCCCCTGCAAATATACAAAAGAGCAAACCAGTACTTCTATCTTATATTCCCTCACATCCACATTTATTTTTACCAAATGAGAAGCTAACAAAGAAGATACCTCTCACATGTCTGTTTGTATATGTAATTCCTCCTGTATGTGGGAAAGTTTTCTCGGTGCAGAGAGCTCAGTTTTGATTGATGCCTTATCAACAATGAAAATTCTTCCACAGCCTCCTTACAATCATGCTACATGTGATGTGGTCAAGGGTTTCCATATTTCCCCTTGCCAAAAAATTCTTATGTGGCATACTGAGTTTGATAAGGATATGCATCAGTCCCTAATTCACGGAAGATGACAGCCATATATGATTTTTCTCACAGAAGTTGCACCCTGCATTTCTCTTTTGGAAGACAGTTCATATTTAGTCATGTATTTTGCCACCAGGAGCAAGGCTTATACAGCTGCTCCACCCAGACTCATTTTGGTTCTGCAAGCTCCATATTTGATCACCAAATCATTGGGCTAGTTTTCCTGAAGTGACATAAAGAAATGCCTATTCTACTGAGATAGGCCAGAAAACAACAGAGGAATTTTCAAAATATAAAATTATTAGGAACTGCTTATCAACAATGCAAAATACTGAAAGCATGTAATGGTCAGAGTACTGAAATGGTTATTTGAAAAATGTAGAGGCTGATGTATGCCACCATGAATATTAGAGACATTGAAAGATTGCCATATGAGCTTATGTTCTAATAATGGCATGCTTTTCCTTGTGGAGCATGTAGTAAATATCCTGTCATAGCCAGAGATGTAGCAGAGTTGTTGTAGGCATAATGAAAATGCTAGAGATGTCTTTAAGGTAAAATTATTTAGAAAGAGAACTTGTCTGAAACACAAAATAAAAAGTGTTGGGAATTTCTACCAATTATATCTCCTTCAAGGCTTCCTATTGTATCTAATGTGGTGGACATGCAAAGTCAATAGTGTTCAATTCACCAACACATATTGGAAATTCTCTGATCAGAAAACGGGAAAGAAAGAAAAAAATAAGGACTAAGACTGGGTGAGGAATAACAATATTTCTGAAGACTACAGTGTCAAGATTGGCACCAGTGATTTTTACAACCCAAAGACAGATAATTGGAAGACTTTCAAGGTTTTTCCCGTCCCTCTGAGATGTAGTACAAATGGAATTCTGAAAGCCCAAATAGGATGAACATAAACAAGGATAGTCAAGGAATCTGAAAGCTCTGGCAATTATTATTGCAGCAAACATTAAACAACACTAACATATAGCCACAGTAGCATAAATTCTCACATTGTACAGCTGTTTACTTCAATTGCTATTTCATAATACATGTTGCAGCATTACCATTCCACATTAAAGTTAATACCTTAATAAAGGAGCCTAATTCTTAACCTTATTTTAAAAACCTGGGTCCTAACTCAGAGGACCCATAGATGTTGTGCCCTGGGCCTGTGTAGATTCCACCCATACTTTTATTCCAAACATTTTCTCCACCATCAAATGAAGAATTACAAGCTTGTGTCCTCTCTTACCTTATCAGACAGTCCTTTCTTTTCATTCTTAGGCCTAGAATACCTAATACATATGCTATCAAGTG